CTGGTGATATTTTAGTAAGGAGACTAATGTACACAATGACATGCAAGTCTCGCCACTGTACCTTCGGATTGCTCTCTTAAAAATTACCAATGAAATGTTTGGTATGGAAGGTAATCGCTGTATTGTTGAAATAACGATACCGAAACCAATTAGATTAAACAACCAACATGAAACTGTTTTGTACTTGTTTTCAGTATGGTTAATCATTTCAATGTTAATTTCAATACATTAGGGATTTTGTAGTATTGTTATAGTGATTGAACATAACATCATCATGTGTTATACAGTCGTAACCTCCACACACGGTTACCGAAATAAAATACATTAGGGATTTTGTTGTGTTATGTTCCAGTAAATGTACATTAGATTCCCATCTGTTGATGGACATGCAGCCAAAGCTTCCAAATAATATAGTGTTTGTGCTTTTAACCTTGATATGTACTTTGTGCATGCGATGATCGGAAATAATCAGGTTAAGTAAAATTGAAATAGACGCTGGCATCATTTGAATATCGATTAGTTTTCTGGTATTGATTATTTATTACACCAGATGCCTATCAGCCAATCAAATATTTGCTTTGTTGTGGGACTCAAAATATTAAACCAGAACGCAATGTGACTAGGATAAATTTGTGTAATCAGTAAATGACTGTACAAAATCCTTGGGCAATCAACACTGCACCAGGACGTGTACAACAGAAAAGACAAGGGGTTCGAATGGTGATAACAGTAGTAGGTAAAGGGCCATAAGGTAACGTTATTGCCATCATGATGTTGTAACAGTTTAATTTGGCCTGCCTCTTCAGTCAGGATAGTAGTGGAAGCTGGCAGGATTTCGGCGTTTCCAAATAGGCATCCAAACGGCATAGGTAGAACCAGCCTGAAACTCTCCCATGTAGAATCTCCTTTCACCATCAAACCTTCCATGTCCGTGCAGGGGCAAGCACTAATTCTCCTTTCATTTTTAATGTCCGTTCGTGCTCTTTTCGTCAAACAATATATCGAGAAGACAAGTCATGTTATGTGTGATGCAACTAAGAAAATGGACTTGTTGCACTGTTAAAGTTACGGTACAATAGCATATAAAACAGATATGCGAGGAAACAGTGTATGACAGTTTAATGATGTCTCTGTCACAGGGGCGATGGGAAAGCCTAGTGGTTAAAGCGTTCGCTCGTCACGCTGAAGGCCCGGGTTCGATTCCCCACATGGGTACAATGTGTGAAGCCCATTTCTGGTGTCCCCCGCCGTGATATTGCTTGAATATTGCTAAAACCGGCGTAAAACCATACTCATTCACTCACTCACTCTCTGTCACATTAATTCCAGAACCACTATTTGTAATTTGAAAATTTCGAGAATTGTTCCTGAGTACCTATGGTCAACTGTGCTATTGACATCCTGAATTAACAACATTTCGATGAGTACCATGAATATCAAAGAACACTCATATACAAGTATTGCATTCACGTCTCGGTCTGTTGTTGAATACTGAACTAGTATTGACCAAGACATATCACATGACAAAACCTCTTATGTTGGTGCTGTTGTCATGGAGATTTTATTAGTAATGTGTTTGTACTGTATGAAACCATTCAACTAGTACAGGGTAAAATGTCCGATTAACAGGGCAGTCTACATACGGAGCACGAGAGACAACATGGCCACAAAAGACCAATTCCTGAATTCACAAACCTTTTGACGAGTATCCGATTGATCAAACAAAACCCATATGCAATGAATGCATCTTTAGGTTTTCATGCGTCCTGTGGTTGAAAATTCAACTATAAAGTATAGAATTGATGAAGACATATCACATGACCATACCTCTATCTAATATTTGTACTGTTGTCCTGGAGATCATATTAGTACTACAATGACTGAACACATTCAGCTAGTCTGGGGGTACATACGGAGCATCAAAGACAAGATGGCTACGAAAGTCCAACCATACCAGTCCTGCACAGAGAGCAATAGAATACAAAGTGTACAATTATTTAGAACAATGAAATGGTACCTACGGGCTGGTGGATTCTATGTTGGGACGGATCTGAATGGCAGGAAACACGGGTGTCGTAACATTCTCATGGTATTGTACTGCGTATTTTGTACAGCAAGTGCCATCGTCAGAGCCTGTAACTTTCTCCTGGAATATCTCAGCAACATGGAGTCAACCAGAAACTCCATCACGTCAGCGGCGTATCTGACCTTCTACATAGAAACAGTGTGTTTGATGCTATCTCTGACCTTTATTCTAGCTGGAAGATTCAAGAGGTTTGAGGAGCTGTTGGTTCAGAGAATTGGTCAAACCGCTGACTTGAGAGAGTACTATTCCAAACTGAGGAAACTATCATATGTACTTATATCTGCTATGTGTTGTATTCATTTTGGTTGTCAGTTATGGCCGTTGTTAGTATCCGATGCACCATTTGACGTGCCAGCTGGACCCTTTTCAAAAATGTTGATGAGCATATTTTTCGTTGTCACACTTTTGAGGAACTTTCGGCTTTTACGCGATAATAGTTGCATACAATCTAGTGAGTTTCTGTCTTTACAAAGAGTTTCAGTTCTTCTCAAGAAAATTCAAGGAGCTCTATCAAAGAGAGACTCATTTGTTTGAGGCCACGTTTCAGGAACTGTGGGACGAGCACCTCTCTCTGTCCGAACTACAACAATCAGCTGATATGTTTATGAAACCATTTGTCACACTGACATATTTGTCCACCATCCCAATCATATGTTGTATGGTGTTTGGTTTGACAAGAGGACATCTGGGTATGGAAGAACTGTTTTACGTCGCTAGTATCTTTTGTCTGAGCCTCTGTCAGTTCTGTAATGTGACTTTGATTGCTGTAATGATCAGTGAAAAGGTAAGATTCATCGGACTCTTTCTTAACCTTCACAAATATATTGTGGTTGTTCACCAGGAGAAAGGCTAGCATATTTAAAATATTTTCTGTCGTGCCAGCGGGTAGTAGTTTTGAATTTTTGTGAGTGATACATAGAAAATATCTCTGAAATGCAAACTCAATGGCTAATTCCTCAAGTTATTAAATGGTTTATACACAGTATAACTTATGATGACTTACAATAACGGCAACAACAAGAACATAATGATAAGGATATAGGTAGGTATTTCCTCAGCTTGCGAAATACCTACATTATCCAGTTGAGGACAAATAATTGAGGACAAAACACGAGGACAAACAATTGATTGATTGCAAGTTGGAAATTACATATCCTGACATACATAATTCCAAGGAACATAAACTATATCCCACTCCATGTTCAAACCATTGACATTTGACGTCATAAAAGAGATTGATTTTGATTTTTACAAGTGGCTTGTTATACTCACAAAACCGTAACTCTCTATTAATGTTTACTTAGAGAATAGTTGTATTTGTATTTATGTAATACGTATACACATATCATTTTGATAATAGTCATTATCGATGACGCCACATCTCTAATTTCATTTTGTATTTTATGTTGTATGGGACGGGTGTTAACATAAGCCGTAAAGCTTGTTCACCAATCCCAATTCATGTTCATGAATAAAATATTTTTAAATCATAAGAGAGATTAGCAATATAATCTTAACACTATGAATGGGTCATAAATTTGATCTCTTTTGCTAATTCCTTACACCTTTTGAAATCATAATTATATGCAGCAACAAAAGACATTTGGTGTAGTGGATATAGCTCCTGCCAAGACAGCTGAAAGATTGTTGTTCGATCTTCTGCCAAGCGTCATGCCAAAAGACGGTAAAAGAATATACCCTTGCTACCACGTTTTGCACATCCATGGCGAACTGTAAGAGCAATGTTCACTTCAAAAGGCCAGACCACCAGACGTTTAACATGCCACAATGCCTTTTAGAAAGTGGTCAAATACGAAAAATGTTATATTTGAGGTTACGTGTATGAACGTTGAATGGTGATTAGGTGTTGGTGTTTGAGAGTGTGGGTTCGAATCGCGAATGGTAGCGCCAATCCTCAGAACTAGTAAAAGCAGCTACACAGGGACGTCCATGTATGTTGTATATAACTAATAATAACTTGAACGCGGCGTTAATGCCAAGACCCTTCTTCCTCTAAGTTTCCCTTTTTTCTGTAACCTTAGCTGCCTCTCTGTCTTGACACTGAAGAATACATGACTGGCCCAAATGTATTTTAAATGATATATCTCACTAGACATGCATCAAACCTTTGGAGACTTTTCACACGAAACATTACCCGTGAATACGCTGATCAATGTTTAACGGATGTACTGATGCAAGTAGCCTTTGTTGCCAGTAACTCATTACTCCTGTGCATTGGAACATTATCAGAGGTCATTGCCACTGACTGCTAAGCAGGCATAAGTCTGAGGGGCTTCTCACTCATGTTTAAGTCAATTTTAGAACAAATACAGTCTAGTGCAACGTACGTTGAGCCTTGTGGCACAAATATGATCATTCTTTCATATCAGGAAAGAACCCCTCCACATCAGCTCAGAAAAGGGCGGTTTCAAATAAGACCATTATCTTACACTATGTGGACGGAAGCACAGTAAGTCTGATGAGTTTATAAAAGTTTCAATGATAATGTTGTTTTTAGGAAACAATTCTTATAATCATTTTCGACGCAAGCTATCGGATACAATATAAACGAATAATATGCTGATTATTCCCGTACATCACACATGTGTACACACTGTCTCACGCACTGATGCCGAGACTTCTGATCTCCGACGTGAAGGTCTAATCACTGCTGCTAAATGCCTGGTGGGGAGGTCACCTCCTTGGTGTCGTCAAGATTTAGTGAAATCTGCTCCACTAGTGGGAAATATGACTAAAAAATGATGTAGCCAGATACGGGATTTGAGATAATCAATTTAAAGACAAAGGGGGACGTAAAGGCTGAGAAATGGAAGTTAGGACAAGACATTGATGATCATAGATTCTTTGGGTGCACGTGAGAGAGAGTTTGCATGCTGTTTCTTTATGTCACCAGGCCCATGAACCTGTCCAACACATATTTGGCTCCAAGTGGTCATCGCTGTCGGAAGGAACACTACAGAAGGTGAGTGTGAAATACTGAGTAAATTACGACGTAAAAGAGGAAAGGAAGCAAATGAAACCGTTAAACGGCTATTTAATATATATGCAGAATCGTCTACCCAAAACAGTTAGTATGGTAAGCAAACCCTGCCCCTTGACACCTGAGATTACCTGTAATCACGTTGCGATAACAGAGGAATTGTGAACATATGAACAATACCAACAATTCGTCTCCTGAAGTTATCAGATTTTTTTCAGGTTTCACTGTTTGTTGCTCGACTCTCATCGGAAAAGATCGGGTATACGGCGTGCGGACTATTCACCATCGACAAGTCTGCTTTATTAATGGTAACTAATATTACCCTAAATATTGATACCGTTTTATATGTTGATTCCAAAGTCGAAACTGAAAGTTAACCGGAGATCAGTCCGCAAAAGAACCTGGTGTGAAACCAACAAACGGCAAAGCTAAGTCACATAATTATGCATTAGTATCATAGTGTCAGAGTTTTTTAAAAGGCTGCATAACACAAGAGCATAACTTATCGAAATAACGACAAAGATGGTAGCATTCACCTCACTGCAACAATGGTCAAGGCTGAGTATTTAGGGTAGGAATGATCTCCCCACAACTGCAGTTCTTCTTGTCACTTTAGATGTACGAGACAGTTCCCCTTAAACCTAACACAAAACTTCCAAGGGATTCTTGAACTCTCTGGCCATAATATAGTGGGGAGGACAGAATGCAGAACATTTCAGAACGCTGTATGAACATAGCACTCTTTAAATATAAAGCTCACCACACCACAATATCACTGCCATATTATAAGTTGTATGCTTCTCTCGAGGGTAATACGAACTGATGTACGCATCTTTGTAGCAGTGTTACCCGAGCCGGTAGGCGAGTTTAAGTTGAGTGTGCGAACGATTCAATATATAAAATTGTTTAAACAAAGCGGTGAAAGTCGGTAAAATAATGTGTACATAGTGAACTCAAAAACAGCTAATCGAACGGTTTTCGAACTCCGGGCACTGTTTGCGTCATATTATGACGTCATAAGATTGTTAGCGATACAGCTTCTCGGCGGAGAGTTTGGCGGATACCGTGGCAGCGGGTAATTTTTGTTCCAGTTGTCACCCTCCTCCGAATATCATGTAATAATGTGACGATGCCTTGAATGAAAGAGTGTTTCGCAAGCATGAGTGTAGATGTATTTCACAGGGGGATATTTAGAGACACTAGTGATATATTTTCATTCTAGTGAAGGAAAGTATAATTACTATAGACAGCTATGTTTATGATGCTCTTTTGAGCACGTCTTCTTGGTGCCTTAAATGATGTCATTTAAAAGTTTTTCCTGACGTTCTGTTCCTTTCACAGAAAAAGATAATGCCTTTGTGATTTTTTAGTGTATTTCTGTTGGATACGAGGGTTATAAATACATACTTTATTGAAGTGACAAGATAAACAGTGAACACTTCTTTTTCTTCAGCTGGGTGGCACCGTGCTGACGTACGTTGTGGTGGTCCTGCAGGTGCAGCCTGACTCGGATGCTGGCTGTCTGACTCCTGGCTCTTTTAACCTCACTCACCTATGCCCCTAGCTTCAACATTCACTTGCACATTCATACCAGTTTTAGCATCCACCTGCACATCCACACCCCTTTCAACATCCACCTGCACATCCACATCCCCTTCTACATAGACCTGCACATCCTCATCCCCTTCCACTTCCACCTGACATCTACATCCCCTTCAACATCCACCTACACATCCACATCCCCTTCAATACGTCCACCTGACATCCCCATCCCCTTCCACATCCACCTGCACATCCACATCCCCTTCAACATCCACCTGCACATCCACATCCCCTTCAACATCCACCTGCACATCCACATCCCCTTCAACATCCACCTGCACATCCACATCCCCTTCAACATCCACCTGCACATCCACATCCCCTTCAACATCCACCTGCACATCCACATCCCCTTCAACATCCACCATCACATCCACATCCCCTTCAACATCCACCATCACATCTACATCCCCTTCAACATCCACCTGCACATCCACATCCCCTTCAACATCCACCTGCACATCCACATCCCCTTCAACATCCACCATCACATCTACATCCCCTTCAACATCCACCTGCACATCCACATCCCCTTCAACATCCACCTGCACATCCACATCCCCTTCAACATCCACCATCACATCTACATCCCCTTCAACATCCACCTGCACATCCACATCCCCTTCAACATCCACCTGCACATCTACATCCCTTTCAACATCCAGCTGCACATCCACATCCCCTTCAACATCCGCCTGCACATCCACACCCCTTTCAACATCCACCTGCACATCCACATCCCCTTCAACATACACCATCACATCCATATCCGCTTCAACTTCCACCTGCACATCCACTTTCCCTTACACATAGGGATGATTTGTAGTTATATTATTGCTTGTATATTATTCAATTTGCTTTCATTTTAATGTTGATTGTAAATTATTGTGTTGTTTGAGCTCTGATGATATAGTTGTGTATAAACGTGTAGCTGCACTGGGCAAAGACTATCCTGTAAACTTACACAGATACAGACATGTTCAGGTTATAAAACTGGTGTTACATCTGAAGCCTTGACTGTAACATGTCTGGTAAAGGTCACATGGCAATTCTTGGTTATGTGTCAATTTTCTGCCTTGTATTGCTCTTCACATAAATGTACGCAGAAGACTTTTTTTCTTTGTCTTTCATTTACTTCATGAAGGTTTGTTTCTGCAGATGATGCAGCAAATGACGCTTTATTAAGCATATTTGAAACAGTAGATTGTGAGATTGTTGTTTATTATGAAATACATCTAGTGTCCCAATACCATTACATGTGTAGACTAGTAGCATAGTGCCGGCTGGACAACTATCGGAAAACACTAACTGTCTGTTTCCAATATTAATCCCTGGTTTGCTGTCCTGATCGACACAAACAGATACGTCCACGGGGAGGAGACAGAATGTGAGATGAACTGCAATCTGCAGGCGGTACCTCTAACAGTTGGTCTAAGGCAAAACTGAAAAAGACTGATCTGAAACGTAACCTCTGACGGTGTTTCGTTTACGCTGCTGCTGAACTTCTACAGCCAAATATACTGACCATAGTTCGGTTTTACCTATTTAGAACTTCCTTGTCGCCTGTAAATAGCCGAGATTCCACAAGGCAATCGAGTGACTGATCAGAGCAACAATCAACGAGTTGCAACACTTATCAGTGAAATTCCGATTGCCCGATCCATCAAGTTGCGCACAGGAAACCATCGTTTGCCTGACATTATTAGTTTAACATATGCACCTCAACGTACTACTAACTGACCATGATGGAAAGGTAAATACTTATTTCTCTTGACAGAAGTTTGCATCATAGGCGAAATTCTGTTACATATATTTGTAAATCTGTGTATGAAGGGAGCACAAATCGGTTTGATCAAGAAGGTGCTCGAGACATCACGACAGTGTGAACAGTTAGTCCAAAGCATCATGTCGATATGCTGCTTGCTTGTGTGTGTCAATCTTGCTCAATGTCCGTTCATAGTCCCAGAAACTAGAATATGATTCAAGAAATAGATCAGGAGGAAAATTTCGCTCTACTTTACGAAACTACTGAGATAATGATCTCGAAATACCATAACGATTAACAGTAGTATCCGAACAGAATGGAACTATACACAACCAGAGATGTATTTCTCAGACAGATTGACGTGGATTGGACAGATTATCAGATGCTTCACCCACTGTATACATGTGCACATCTGTAAAATCTCAGACCTGCTGATCTCACAGAAAATATTTGCCTTCTCCTCCTTCTCTTACACTTCATCTTCAACATCAGGCACGACATCTGTTCTGACAATCACCATGCGGTTTTTGTTCATCGAGTGGTAAACTTCAAAACACTGTTTCGTTGTGCAATATTGCATTACAGAAAGAATAAATGTGGCAACAATGAAAGGATACAAGAAACCGTTATTAGTGTAACACGAAGGGAGTTCAAATACGTTTGTAAAATAGCTTCCATGTGTTCAGAAACGGGATTTAGAGTAAAAGTGATCCATGTGGAATTCATATTCACACATAAGACGGCGAAAAGAACTGAAATATAATCCATAACTATACTAACATGCTACCTGAAGTATAAGGAGTCCTCATAGATCCTCCCTGCGACGAAAGTTGTGAGGGGAAAAGTCTAAGATTTCTCCACTCTGTCTGATAATTTCTCCAGAGAAGCACACATGGAATACATGTAGCCAAGAATTTAGTAAAGTGTTTTGCATCAACATACTTTGCTGTCCTGGGGGAAAAAAATCGAAATCCTGTCCGAAAGAAACATATTTCTGCGTCAGTCGCCTATAAATTGTGTTGTGATACATAGTGGATGTATTTCTGAAAACGATGGAAGGCAAGATTCTTAATTTTATTCAGGAATTATACGTTGTCTTCCGATAATACAGTTATGACATTTCTATTCTAATTTGAGTGCGCATATATCTATCAGAATAAAAACATTTAGAATTTAGCTTTGTTATCTTGTCTCAGCTTAGAAATTGCCAAATCATGTTCTGCTTTTTTATTTATTATATTTATATCCTTTAATGTGTGGAAATGGAGTCCAGGGTATCTGAAACTATATCTGGTCACCGTGTTCCAATTTATTCACATGTACACTATAGTTAGATTTGGGCCCATTTCGACCGAGGTCTGACAGCTGTTGGTTTACTTGTCAACGGTTCTGTCTTCCCTCGACGGTTTTGCATAGTTTGCTTTAAAACAAAGCTACGGGACCTTTTTTGTAGACCCTCAAATACAGATCCTCCCAAAATATTTCATACACTCAAACCAGACACAGTGAAAAATAACTGTGTGCTGTAATTGGGCTGTTACTCATAGACCCGGGTTGAGTAATTATGACGTCATTTTCTAGTGTGCCTTGCACTTGATCGTACTCCCACAATGCTCATGATATCAGTCACTGAAATCCATTTTCAGGTCATCTTATACAATGCATAGTTGTAGAATTAAGGGACAAAACAACAACAGCAACAGTTTTCGCTAAAACGTGGCGCTGTCTCCCGTAATAACATCGAGCATGTGGCTGACACGTTTCTTTGGAGCTGTCAACGATATTATTGTCATCCACTGGATCCGTCTGTCCATGTTTTAGACCCGCTTATTGTAACCTGTAGAAAGAGGAAATGAACTTGCTTGTAGTTCCCAAAGTGCAGTATGGAAACAGGTCCTTTGTCCATGCAGGATCAATGGCCTGGAACAGCCTCCCGCAGAGCCTTGGAGACTGTTATGACTTTCAACCCTTCAGATCCAATAAAAAAACACACATATTCAAGATAGCCTTTCAACTGTAGCTCTTTGCCTTATTTACCCCTTGGTCCCTAGACTGGTGATCTCCCTTCAGTTGTTGGCGATCCTCAGCCTTATTTTATATTGTATTGTCCTAAGTTGAATTCCTATTTTAAATATTTAAGCTAGTTTTATTTCTTATTATTGCGATATACTAGTTGGTTTTACTGTCCTTCGTCGACAAGTTTTAAAAATTTGCTCATTTTTCATTTATACCTATTTTAAGTCACGATATGGCTGAAATACTGCCGCTGTGACTATAAACGTAAACTCACTCACTCACTTTGCCTTATTTGCATTTTATTTCGTGCGCTTTGAACATGTTTAAGCATTTATTGGTCTATGATGATTCAAATAAACTGCAGCGTCATCGCTAGAACACGCCAGCTCATCATTACTATCGTGTACGGATCATCGTTAAGCCCCTATCATGTATCCGGTGGATGACTTTAAGGGTCACGTCACTCGGTGATTGAGGACATGTAAGCACAATTATATATGCCTACACACGGTTTTGCCTCTGTCTATACACACAGAAGACACGTTCAGCTGTGCCACAAACAGACAACTGTATTATTAATAGGCAAGCTGGAAAATGATGAACAGGATTTGAATATTCCCAAGAGAGAGAAAGGGGAAAGGAGCGAGAGGGGTGGGGGAAGGGGAAGTGAAAATTGTGAGAGAGAGGGGAATAAGGAGGAACGAAAGGAGAGATGGAGAAAGCGGAAGATATCGAGAGAGATGGGTAGGAATGAGAGAGTAATGGAGGGAGAGATGGAGAGAGTGGGATGGATAGAGGGATATATCGAGAGAGAGAGGGTATGAATGAGGGAATAATGGAGAGAGAGATGGAGAGAGTGGGATTGATGTAGGGAGATATCGAGAGAGATGGGTAGGTATGAGGGAATAATGGAGAGACAGATGGAGAGTGGGATGGATGGTGGCAGATATCGAGAGGAATGACAGATGGGTAGGAGAGTGGGATGAGGAGAATAGATGGAGGAATGAGGGAATAATGGAGAGAGATGGAGAGAGGGATGGATGGAGAATATCGAGATGGATGGAAATAATGGAGGGAGAGATGGAGAGAGTGATGGATGGTGGCAGATATCGAGATAGATGGGTAGGAATGAGGGAATAATGAGAGGAGAGAGTGGGATGATGGAGAGAAGGGCAGGAGATGGATGGAGGCAGATATCGAGATAGATGGGTAGGAATGAGGGAATAATGGAGGGAGAGATGGAGAGAGTGGATGGATGGTGGCAGATATCGAGATAGATGGGTAGGAATGAGGGAATAATAGACGGAGAGATGTAGAGAGTGGGATGGATGGAGGAATGCATCGAGAGAGAAGGGCAGGAA